ACATTCGGGCGAGTGGGCAAACATCATACATCCTAGCGTGTTGTCGTTGGGGTGATCTAGTGCCACGCCTGTTATACCGTGGTTCCTCAACTAGGACAAGGATCTGACCCAAGAAACGCGCAAACCGTCTGCCCCTGTAGGGCAGACCAGATGCCACGCCTGCCTTGTCGCGGCGACCATGCGGCTCTCAACGGAGAAGAGTCTGTCCCGCGCACAATCTGAACGCGAACGGGCAGGCGCGTTGCTCCCTGGCGGCTACTGCTTGGGTTGCCCAAGTGGCGCTCTTGCTATGCCGCGCTGATCAATCATCTATCCAGCAAGCAAACAGCCTGGAACGTCCTCACAATGATACCGCGGAAGGACACGCGTCCGACCGCCTGGCGGTTGTTCCAACGGGCGCCCAAAAGCCACGCATTCGCGCGTCTGTCGAAATATCAGGGTGCGTTTTACCAATCGGCCATTCCCATCCAACACCTCCTTAGAAGACCGCGCTGCCACGCCCGCTACATCTCGGTGAGCCCAATGCCGCGCATGAGCGCATAAAGGTACGATTGGTCTAAATATGGTTGCCTGTGGGGGCGATCAGGCCTGAATGATTATGCGCGAGAAGTGTGTGAGTGAGCCTACGTCGGGTGCGAGTGCGTCTAAGAGTCAGCGGGTCTGCTTGCGAATGGGTCTGACTGTCAGCGCGTCAGGCCGTCGGCGGACCCGCCGCGCGCGCGACGCGCGCGCGAGGGCGTCGAGGGGAGAGGGGGCGGGGGGGCGCGATGCGGACGCGTCAAACAAGTAGCTGGCCACGCGAATCACGCCGCGGGGACAGAGGCGCACGCCCTGCAATTCTGAAGACGGCTGCGCTGAGCCGAGGGGGCGCGATTACGACGGCAGCGGCTGGGGCTGAAGGGGGCGGCACGGTGAACAAACTGGGAGGGAGGACGAGCGAGGCCCGATCAACCAACAAACCCGTCACGCAACCAAACGCCCAAAACAACAAATCCCATCAGACAGCCAAACGTCGCGGCCTTGCCGCTTGAGACTTCCTCGCGTCGCGGGTGCCACGGCAGGGGGGGGTCGCGAGCGGCGGGGCCGACGACCCAAAGGGCGGGGGGGGGGATCCGGAACACGAGGAACGACAGGGAGGGTCTCCCCGCAGGGCACGGGCGCCATGCAAGGCCTCCCCGCCCCCTTTCGGCCGCCGGAACCTGGATTGAGAGGGCGAACCGGAAAGACGCAGCGCCGCCCAACGCCTGCCCGCAAACAGATAGCGAAGCGGATCGGGGGGGCGGGGACGGAAAAAGAAGTAATGGCTCGAAGGATCGAAGGTAAAGAGAAGGAACGAACGCGGTGCAGCGCACCACCGCGCGGCTGCAGCGCATCGCGAGGTGGAGGGTCGCCCAATGCCCCTGGAGCGCAACGCGGACCAACCCGCCGCAGGCCAGGCCTGGCGGACGAACCGCCGCTAATTGCAGCGCGCCGCGACTACCACAACGACCAACCAAATCCGCGCGGCAACGAAGAGGCGGAGAAACGCCAAAGAACGCATGGGGAAAAGGAGGACCCAAGCAACAAACTGGAAAACGCAAAACAAAAAAGGAATATGGTCGGACAAAAGGACAAACTGAGCAAGTCAGATCCTAGCCGGCGTGCAGGTGACTCCCTTGTCGCAAGAGCTCGGGGCGCGGTGGCGGGGGCGACGCCTGCGCGTGGACTGCGGCGCGCGCGGGGCGCGGGAGCTGCTGCCGCCACATGGACCGCGGTAGCTGCACGAAACGCATGGGCCGCGTAATCCACATGGGCCGCGCGATCTGCACGGGATGCGGGGGCGAGGGGCCGCGTCGGACTGGCGAGGCCGCGCCGGCCGCACGAAGCGCGCGGGCGCCCCCTGCACGGGGCTGGGCGACGCGCAAAGGCAGCGCGAAGCGCACGGGCCGTGGGCGATACATGAGCCGCATGGCCGCTCGTGCTGCCCAGCCCACAGGAACTGCGCGACCCGCGCGGTAGTTGATCTTACGGGCCGCCAGGCACAGCCTGCACGAATCCCACAAGACTGAACACTTTAGGCCCCGTGAACATCGTGTCGCGCGCCCACTCGGGGAACCGGCCCCCGAAGTCAAGCATTCGGGCGAGAGCCGCGCCGACCAAACAAACCAATCACCGAACCACCAAACGCAACAGCATCACTTGAGACGTCCTCAACATGCGGGCGCGAGGTTTGAAGGAGAGGGGGCGCACCTTGCAACTGTATGTTGTTATTCGACAGCGACGGGGGCAAAGGCTAGGGCGACCAACGAAGCCAACCACAAAGCCAAAAGTCTCGGCCGTGTCGCTCGCGTATTCTTCGCGACTTCGGCGCCCCAGCAGGGGGCAATGCGTGTTTCCAGTGATATTGAATGGCAAGGCGGGGCTGGCGAGGAGGGAAAAAGGAAACGGGCGAACCAGGAAAAAGAGCAACAACAAATACCTCCCCCGCAAGGCAAAGGTGCAGCGTCAAGCCTCCCGCCCCAGTCGGCCACCGAAGACTGGCTCGGACACCTCCAAACTGGGCTCGGAGCGCTGTCGGCGCCGCCGCGGGGGAAGCGGGGGGAAGGGAACGAGGGGGCGCCATCCCACGCGCATCCGCCGACAAAAAGCAGAGGGGGGAGGGGGCAGAAAAGAAAGACGCGAGGAAGGAGAAGGAAGGAACGCGCTACAGCACACCACCGCGCGGCTGCAGCACAGTGCGAACTGGAGCAACGACAGATGCGACTGGAACGCAGCACAAATCAACCCGCCGCAATAGAGGCCTGACGGACGAAACGCCGTTAACTGCAGCGCGCCCCGAAGCCCAAGTGGCCGGCCAAATCCGCGCGGCATCGTAAAGGCGGAGGAACCAAAGAGAACTAAGAGGGAAAAGGACGATTGAACAACGAGCAGGAGAGCGTTGGAGAGAGGAAGGGGAAGGCATATACTCAGACGGGCATGGACTGCACAGGCCAAGTGTCTGTCGAGGAAGAGCCTTTCAGGAGCGAGATGCTGCACACGCGACCATAAGAAAACTGCTTCGGCACGAGAAATCACCATGCATGTATCGGTGAATTCCTCCCCCTCCTCCTCCTCCGCCTCCTCGTCCTCATCCTCCTCATCCACGCTACTTGTCATCGACGAGGTAGCGCGTTGGCTTCCGTGCGATTCCTTTTCTACGAACGGCGGAACAAAAAATGGTTATGTGAGCCGAGATATCCTCGCAATGTGAACGCGGCAACGCCCGTGATGTACCCCCTAGCGCCCCCCCCCCTTGCGGTCCCCAGATGCCACGCCTGCTACATCACAACGACCAGGAAGCCCTGAAGAATTATACACACAATCGAAGCAGCAAAGCCAAGGTCCCGCTAGAGACATCCCCACACATTGGGCGCCAATGGGTAAGTGTCCCACCCGCCGCCACATCACAAGTATCACGCAGCCATGGACAGAGAGACGCTTACCTCTAAACAACCAGCGCCTCGCGTGATACATCCCCACTCTCTGGCCAATCGCGCGCAAGTGTCCTGCCCCCGGCGGCTAATTCTGGTAGTGCCCAAGGCTTATGTCTACTACGTCGTCGCGGCGACCGCGAGGCCCCAAAAAGAGACGCGTCGACATTCCCCAAACAAAAATTTCAACTGACATATCCCCACAATCTGGGCGCGAACGCACCCGTGATGTACCCCCTGGCGCCTCCCCCCTGTGGCGCCAAAAAGTGATGAGGCTACACCGCGATTGCCAGGGCCTGAAAACACATGTCTAACGTCCAAAAGCCACCTGTTCGCAGGGGACGTCCACCAAAATCTGGGCGCCAACGGGCAAGAGTCCGACCCTCTGACGCCCTCCTTCCCTCCCTGGGGTGCCCAAGTATATCACTCCCGGCACACTCTTGTGGAACCGACAATACAAAGATAAACAACGGCAACAGCAGCTAAGCTTCCACAAGAACCCACCTCTCCAAATTCAAAAGAAACCACCTTTTCAAATTACAACAACGCATCGAACAAATCGTTGCCACCACCCATACAATGTTGGCAGCGGGCGAAATTGAGTTAACCGCAAGGTATATTTCAACAAAAAGCGGAAATCAGCCGACATTTCGTCGCGTGTGCGACGCCGACGTCGTCTTCGTCGTCGTCGCCGTCGCCAGTCCTCAGTCCCGCCTCTTGGGCCATTTTGGGGCGATCTCCGGGGCCTCTTGCAGGAGAGCCCAGAATCGAATCGATAAGTCGGGTCGGCGATCGAAATAGATCGGATCGGAGGAAATCGGCAGCCGAGACGAGAAAAGTCGAATCGGCGGAAATCGGCAGGCTGGTAGGCCTCCAGTAAGGACAGTAAGGAATCGGCGCCCAAATTGGAATCCTAAGTCGAATCAAATCGGAATCGGAGGCCATCGAAATCGGATCGACTCGATTCGGAGGAATCGAAATGAGCCCTGCACTTGGGACGTCTAGGACGCTGGCACGACCAAAAAAAACGAATCTGCTAAACACATACGGTTTCCTAAAGGAATGGTACGATCTTCGCCTCCTGGGGCCATCTTAGGGGTCCTCTTGAAGCCGTTTTTGGGCGCCTTGGGCTGTTTGGAAGCCATCGTGGGCCGTTCTGGACTCCCTTGGAACATATCTGGAAGCTCTGGGGGGGTCCTGGAAGGACTCCGCGGAAGCTCCAGGGAGACTCAGGGGAGGCCCCGGGAGGGGGAGGGACTTTAGGTGACTCTGGGTGGCCCTGGTGTGCTGCAGCCCTGGGGCCTCCGGGAGTAGGTTTCCGATGTATGAAAAACTAGAGCCACGCGCGCGCTGCGCGTGCTTTGGTTCTAGCAAGATGTGGAAATGGTATAGGGTTTGCAGCATCGGAGCACAGAAAGCCTTTGATCAATCATGTTCAATCAGCAAGTCGTACCCTCGCTCTGTTCCGTGGATGCACGCGACGAAACCCCAATCGACCTGGATCCTGTATTCTCATCTCAGCAAGCCCTCCCAATCCCTCTCCCTTCCACCCCCCTTTCGGCGGACCAGTGGAAGCATATTCCACGCGGCAGAAGTGCTGTTGCGGGCGCGTTGTGGACGTGTTCCACTCGGCATGCAACGTGACAAAGTAGACGAACTGCCGACGCTGTGGACGAGTTCCACTCGGCGTGCAGCAGTGAAACATGCAGCTGGCCCAGGCCGCGGGTTTAAAAAGAATTCCGCATGACCCCACTTCAACTGGCTACATACCCTTCTTTTCCACTCCAGAGGGGCGCCTCACGAAAACAACACACACATGCATAGCAGCAGCTAGTGTGTTCACCAGGAGGGGAGGTGGGGGGGTGGGCCCTAATGCTTAATCCACCCGCTTGAAGCAGCCGCTAAAGGCAGCCAAGATCTGGTCTTTGGGGAGGGGGGGGCGGGGGCCCGCGCCGATCGGCGAAGCAAGACATAAAAAACAGCTACCTCTCAAGACTGCTCAATGGGGCCCGATTTCGGCACACCTCTCACGCAGTCCACGCCTACCCGAGGCCTAGATGACCCAGAACGTCCACGGCCCACCTGGAGCAAATCCAATGCCAACTGCCCAATGCCTGCCCACGGAACCCCCAGGCCTACCCAAGGTCAGCCCGACGGCCTATCCAATGCCTGCCTCAGGCGAACCTCGCGGCCTTTCAAAAACTGATGGATGGTCGTCCTACACCATGCGCAAACGTCCGTCCAGGGAAGCCCCCGGGAGGCCCTATACCATGCGAAGACGTCCGTCCAGGGAAGCCCCCGGAGGCCCTCGTCATCGTCGTCGTCGTCGTCGTCGTTGGTCGTCAACGCTGCTCGTTGTCATCGTCGGGATCGTCGTCGTCGGCGTCGTCCTCGTCGTCGTCGACATTATTTCAAGCATGCAGCGAACCCGAACGTTCGGCCCACCGCCATGGAAGCTGATCACGCTGGGGCTCACTCGGGCAATCTCAGCTTCCCCACAGCACCGGAGAGCCCCAAGCCGCCTGAAATACCCACAGGTAAACTCGAGAGGCTTCTTCAAGAAATACCCACGGAAAAACTCGAGAGCCTTCTTTCGGGTCGGCGACAGAGGCGGCAGCCTTCAACGCCCGCGCGTCAACTTCTGTGATTGAACAAACCTGCGATATTCTGGCAGCTCTGTGGCAAGCAACTGTCGGCACCTTTACACCAAGGCCTCAAATTGTTGCGCGCACCTGGTCTCCAAAGGATGCAGGCTGAGTGTGACGCCAAGCACCGCCAGTCCAATGGCGAACAGAAGGTGGAACATGGCGTTGTGGTTGAAGTAGGGAGCTGGCAGAGGGCACTGAGAGAAGCAGTCTGCGGACTGCGAGTCTCCGCAGATGGGATCCAAAACTGGCTGCGCCAAGTAGCCCACGATGATGAGGACGATGCCGACAACTGTAACTCGATCGATTGCTCCCCCCCCTGCTCTCAGGAACGTGAACAACGCGTAGATCATCACCACGACTGAATACACGCCGACTTGGAGAAGTTTTGCACCGACGAACACTTGCATGGCCACGATGATGACGGCTGGCACAATCGCAAAGCCGTTCAGGTAAGGCAAACACGCCTTGCAGCAGTCGGTTTCGGGGATCGAGAAGTGATGAGCGTAATTCGAATACATGTGGAAGGCCAGGACCCCCAGAACCGCTGCCACGTAGGAAGTCTTGAACCACAGCGCGTATACTGCGAATTCAGCAGTGTGATGAATTACCTGATGCAGATAGCCTGCGACCCCGTACCCCAATCCATTGAGCAGAAAGAAACTTGGCCCCAAGATCTTCGATAAAGTTCCAGCCCTTGGATTGAAGAAGATCGGGAGCGCGGCAGCGACGCCAATGGCCAGAATGAGATAGTTCGTAGCGTACGTGCCGAAGGAATCATCTGTCGCCGTCCCATCTGGCGGCGTGCCGATGCACCCACCCTCGACATAGTCGTAGTCGTACAACGTCAAGAGCTTGTCCGCCATTGCGCTGCAAACTTTCGGGTGCAATGCCGAGGCTTGCTTCTTCTGGACAGGGCTGGAGACTTGAGCCAAAATGGCCACGGGATATTCCATCCGTGGTTTGGGGGCTTATCTGTGCCATTCCAATCGGATTCCTCCGGCGGCTGCTCATCCAAAAGCTCGTGATTCTCGCCCATCTGCCAGATGCCGAGTTTGAAGCTGACGGTGCCACCCTCGACTGCCAAGGATGTAATCTTCAGCTGTTTCAGTTGAAAAGACGCTCCGAATTGGACCCCGATATAATTATCGAACGATTGTGGCCAACCCATGTTGCCCCCAACTCACCAATGCGACCGCACCGCTTAGCCGAACTGGCTTGAGTCATCATGGCTGCGGTGTGCCCTAACAAGGCGAACTCGACCGTTGCGGCACGGGCCTCCCGGAAGGCCCCAGGCCTCCCAGGAGACCCCAAAGGTTGAACACAACCAGCGGGCATCGCATTGGACCTGGTATGCTGTTCGCCTCTGAAATGGAGGCCTGGCCCCCCCTCCTCCGAATCGGACGCGGGACTCTGTTGTTTCGTTTCTGGTTTTTTGTTGTGTGTATCTGTGTGTTTTGTGTTTCAAATCTTTGTTGATCGGCCCCAGGCGACCTGCCCGGGCGACCCCAGACCTCGAGCCCTCGATCCTTGACGTATGAGATTCGGCGTGGGCGGAGGATGGGGCCCCCAAAGGGCAGGGCTAGCCAATCGGCTGCAGGCCGCTGGCTCCCCCAGCGGCTCTCAGCGCCACGGAGCGACGACGGACGGCAGGTCCTTGCAGCGTCGGCGCGCGCAAAGGTTTTTGACACCGCGTCGATCGTTCTACCTTGAATCGAACGCGGCCACGATCGTTCAAGGTTGAACTCAGTCGGGTCCAGTGTCGTTACCGTCCATCGGTGCTTCCGCGTCGAAGAATTCAACCTTGAACGCCTTCGCCGGCGTCGCCGGCGCGCCACCGCCGCATGAACCTATCGTATCGAGGAGGAGTGCCCCGTGGCAAGGCCGAAAGCAGCTGCCTATCCCCTCTCCACCTCCCGCTCGCACTCTCCATGGCGGTCTTGGGACCCAGCACAGCACTCAGGGCCCAGCAAGCTGTCTGAGGGCCAGCTGGTAGGACCTGGTAGGATCGTGTGGCCGGAGGAAGAGGAGGAGGAGCATCTGAGGGCCAACTGGTAGGACCTGGTAGGATCGTGCGGCTGGAGGAAGAGGAGGAGGAGGAGCAGGAGCAGAAGGAGTGGCGAGCATCGAGGATCGACACCGTCGGAAGGGGCGACTTGGGCCCTTCCTTGAGCCCTCGGAGGGCAACCCCGCCCGGGGTGGACAGAGCGGGAAATCCCTTACGGCCGGGGGCCAAATCCGGCGAACACAGGCTCGCAAAAATTGCGACCGCAACGCCCTGTCGAGATTCAAACAGCCCATTTGGGGGTGGACAGCGATGCGCGCCGAGCGTTCTACGAATGGTACCTACGGTTTGCACGAAACGTGCGACGCACTCAAGATACTTCGAAAACTAACAATAGATCAATCTACTCGGCAAGGTGGAGGTCCTATTCCGGGTGGCGGTATCGGTATCTTCGAGGAAACCCAAGAACGCTTCGATACCGCAAATCTTAAGACCTCCCCCCGAGTGCGCTCTGACCAGGATTTCGAGGCGAATCTAGCGGTTGTGACGAAGGCCTCCCAAGAGGCTGGAAAAGAAGAAAACGAAGGAAGGGTCGGGGTATCGGAACCTTCCATGAGATTCGACGTGGGAAACCTTGCAGCATCGCAAAAAAAAAAGACGCGCCCGGACGCCCGGACCACATTTGATCTGTGAGTATCCCAGGGCCCGAAATTGATAGAACAAAACGGCCGCCCGTGGTGAAAAAAGCGCAACGCCAGGATCTCAGGGCGTGCCTCCCCTGATTGGGCGGCGCGCCCAGGGGGGAAGTGAGAAGGGGCGGGCCTTCTCAGAAGGCTCGGAAGTCTCCAGGACTTCTCAAAAAAGTGTTCGGAGCCCTCCCCGGAGAGACAGACCACTTGCACGAGAAGGCGCGAGGGGCTCCTGAGAAGTCGCGCCGCCTTCTGAGAAGGCCTTCTGCTTCTCGTTCCCCCCCCTCGCTCGCCGCGGACTGCTCACCTGCTGGCCACTAGGGCTCCCAACTTCGCGCTTCGCGCTCCACGAAGCGCGAAGCGCGAATAACTTCGCGCTCTCGCGCCGCCCCCCCGTGCGTCCAAGTCGGGAGCCCCAACCGAACCCAAAGGAACGGAAGAGGGCCGAATTGAAGAGGGAGGGGCCTCAGGAACCCTGAGGCCCCACAAAGCGATCAACCCTTAGGTCGATCCGGTCCGCCAAACAGGCAGACGAACAGTGAAGCCTAGGCCACCCCAGGCCCTATCGGGACGACGGGGGGCGGCAGGCGGCAGCCTGGGGCCAAAAAACCCGCGGGTGGGGAAAGGCCCCAGGCCAGGCTGGACAGGGCCAGCAGCAGAAAGATTCGACTAATCTGATGATCCCGAGTCCGTCCCACCCCCGTCCACAGCCCCGTCCCTTCCCACAGTCGCCGTCTCCTCCTGTCGGAGGGCGGCAGCAACGCGAGAGATCGCGGCGGGGCTGGAGGGGGCGGCCTCCTGGCCGCCTGAACCAGCGGCAGCAAGCCCGAGAGGGATGGGCCGCCTAGTCCTCGGCACACGTCCTGCTGACAGGGCTTTAACCTGGGAGCGAACGCTGGCACGGGTGGCTTTGTTGGCTGGCGGCCCAAGACAATCCACGCGAAGCTTCTTAATATACTTGTCAACCTGCAAACTGTAGCACCCGCAGAGTTCGCAGATCCCAGCTGGGCCCCAGCGGATGAGTTTATGTCCTCGTCCGATTTTTGGGGCCCCAAAACATTGCGAGTTGAAAAGTGTCCTATAGCTCACAGGGGTGGTGGCGATCCTGAGGCACTTGGTGCACTTCACTAGGGCGCCGTCCTGCACAAACTCATGTTCCGTTAGGGAGAGCTTGGGGGCAAGATCGGACCTGATTTTCTTGATTAGAGGCTCCCCCACCTCCTTGAACATCTTGACCGAGCGGGACGCCATGTACGCCGTGAACTGGGCTATCTTCTTGGACTGGACGATCATCTGCTTATGATGTTCGGCCAAAGTATCAGCAACTTTCACGCCCATGGCTCCAGCATATGCAAAGAAATCTGCCCATGCATTCCCATGGGCATGTGCAAGTGATCCACCTGCCTCGATGAACTTCTCGATATCCTTGTGGGAGGGCACCCAGACGAATTCAGACCGCTGCTGATCATGTCGGCACAGATGAAAAATTTTGCGCCACACCTCAGCGTGCAGCGAACTACTAGTCTCGAGCTCTGGGTTCCATTTGTTGGCTTCTCTCACGAACGACAGGTGATCACTGACAATTAAACCTGGCCGTTCCATCATCATCAAGGCTCGGTATCCTGCGTAGCGTTCGCCACGCGGCACCGTTTGGTCACGACCAGGAAGGCCCCCATATTGAGCACGAACTGGGATTCCCGTCGACGGGCATATCTGAACAATGGCCCATCCGACTCGGCCCAGGGTAGGACGACTGATATGCATGCCAGAAGCATCGCAATAAGTAATAGCCGACCAATGACCATTGGCATCACCCCATGAAAATATCTCTGGAACCTCATCTGGAAGACGGGGTTGCAGGGGCTCCGTCGGCATTCCGTATGTCAGGTCAAAAGTGTCTGGGTCATTCATGTTATCCTCCACAATTTTCAACCTGGATTCACGGAACTCAACAACGTCCTCGGGAATGACTTCAGGGCAGGCCTCCGAGGGCTGTAAGGTAGCAGGGCAGACGTTCCATTGATGCGAGAGGGTACCTTTGGGAGCACCACAGTATGGGCATTCTCGAGAGGCCCCGATCCCAAGGTCCACCGACCGATCAGGACACAAAAGACCTCCAGCCCAAAGCTTCCTGAGTACTCCTCTCATAGGTCCAGCTCTGACAGAAAAAAGAGCCAGTCTCATGGCCCGTCGCCAAATCTTCTCGTCGCCGATCCGCTCTGGTAGATGGTGAAGGATCCGTCCAACCTGGAGCCGATGGATAGATTCGACAAGACGCTTCTCAAGATCCCTGGGAGCCACAACCAGCAGCGAATATTGTTGTCCCAGATCGTCCGTAAGAAGAGCAGGCCCGCTGAACTGCCATCCGATACGAATCAGTGTCAGCCATACTGTCGACATCGGTCCTCGTGCCATGGCCCAAGTCGGCTTGGCATCTTGGAACTTGTCGGAAACATACTGCCATGTGTGATGCAACTCCGCTAAAGACACTCTGTTGTCCCAAATAAAGCTATGGTATCTTTTAACCACAAGAATAGTACAATCAAATACAGGGTCGAATCTGTCATCGCTTTGAGTAGCAAGGTAGAGCGTAAGTGATGCGTTGCGGGCAGCTCCGATCATACCGCCCGCAAATGTGCGCAACTGCTTGAGCACAGTGTCCGACGTACCGCTCACGCCCGTGCCGTGCCCCACTGCGGGTAATAGCCCCGTGCGCCACAGCACTCCAAGTCGCTCATGCACCGCGCGCTCCAACGTACGTATCTTGCCAACCCTCTCCTTAAGCTTAGCCATGCGTGCTTGCTCCTGAACCCGTCGTGCTTTGACCCCGTGCAGCTCGTGACCTAAGTTGCGCATGTGGTGCTTGGGCTTGAGTTCCATGCACTTGACCCCCGACGAAAAGCAATGGCGAGCACGAACCGTGGTAGCGACGAACCCCGACTTCGAATTCTGGAGGATGAGGCCTAACTCCCTCACGTCACCACCAAAGTTGCGCACGCACGTGTGAAGTATGTCTGCTCCTCTGGGGCCAGGCCCCTGCCACTGCATGGTGAAGTCGTCCATAAGCACGCGTGCCGTGATCTCGGGATATCTATTGTACTGGTTAGATACCACACGATGCAGGACGACCATAAGGATAGTGGTAGCATGTGTACAGCCAGCCAGGATGCCCTGACGGGCCACGTACAGCGAGCTAATATTACCATATGCACGAATGGTCCGTGGGGCCCGATACGTTTGTAGCACCATCCAGATCAGTCTGAGAGGGAAACCAAGTTCTCTAGCTTCCCGAAGTATCATGCTCCATAAAATGGTCTCATAGCACTTGAACATGTCCAGGAATACTGTTATGACGTGCAACTTGCGTGCGTGTGCTGATTCGGCCTGCAAGTTCAAATGGAATGCACAATCCGATGAAGACCGTCCAGCTCCCGTTCCCCAAAAGGCGGGGTGTCTGTGAACTTTTTCCCAGGCCGTGCTTAGATTTCGACGAGCACGGCCCCGTATCCTCAACATTGTGTTGAGGAGG